TTCCCTCAGTAATGTTATCTCTGAGGTCTTTTGTCTCTCCTCGTTTGGAATCATGAAAACGTTTTTGTGCTGCTGTCTTAGAGAAGGAATGCTGCAGCGCCAGCAGTGCTGTCTTGTGCCGAGGATCCTTACAGCTAGGGATCTATTCAGGCAGTGCTGTCTCTCTTGGTCCATCCTCTGGTCTCCATGCAGGCTGACATGCTTTTTGATGCCAAAGCTTGTGCAACAAAATTCTACTTTCCTCACTGTACATCCAGTGGTAAGCCTGGCTTACTTAGACTAACAGAGTTTTCCCCTATTATATGTTCATCCAAATGTCTGGGCTTGAAGTCTTCGTAGGAAAGGGAACATGCAGATTTTGGAAGGGGTTCAAGTTCAGGCCTTCCTGAAAGCTGCCCCCTGTACAATGCTTCTGTTTGCAATGTGTCAGTGATTTTCTGAAGTTTGTTTATTGGTGGCCTTTTATCCAGATAATGAACTTTCTGGTAGCATTGTCTGAGACAGAGTGGCCTGCTCTTGGCTCACATCCTATTTCTGGTCTGTGCTTTCTGTCACTTTATGCCGCTGACCTAGACTGGTCACTGTTTTTATTTTACTCAGCATTGTGCCTAAGTATCTGGCTTCAACAGCGGGAAGCCTGAATAAAGGCGGAGGCATCTGAACATTGGAGGAGTACTGTTCTTGCAGAATTGATTCATGGGGATGTTGACCTTGAGGTAAACATGCAGTGCACCCTTCAAGAGGTCTCACTTGTGAGAAACTAGGCAGAAATGTTTCTTTCTATATGGAGGAAGTAACAGGGTTTACACTGTCATCTAAGTCTCTTATTTTAGCAGGGACTGCTTATTTTTGCAGACCATTGTCTGAGACTAGTGAAATGGCTCAGTTAGGGGTCTCCCAGACAAAGGGAAGTAGCCCAGACATTCATTATTATCCTGCCACATAGGGAGCTTAGAGTCAGTCTTTATGCTTTGGAAAAGAAAATATTCTGCTCTACCCCAATGCATAAGATATAAATGGGTATAGATGTCTTGTGCTCTCTTCTTTCTTCTGTGAGCATCTGTCTTCCCATTTGTGGTCTCATAAACAATATGATAGTATAAATGGTGACTTGCATTAGTGTGGTTTTGACTTCTTTTAGGAACTGTTGCAAGTGGGACTGAGGATGCTCACTGGCATGTGGCTTTTTAGTTTTCTCAACCACAGTTTGACGCAGTGCTTGAATACTGTTACCCTGTGTTAATTATTTGTACTGTTGAAGTGTCAGATACTGGTGCAGAGTCAAAGCCGTGTTGTATAGGAACTGTTCGAACATGAAGTACATTTGAGTCCTATAGCCAAAGGATGGTCTTCAGCAGTTACTGTGTTGAACAATCTGAGTGTTTGATATTTAACATATGTATGCTTTAAGTGGAATAATGTTGTTCAGCTAAATCAGCATGGCCCAGGGTAGGCCTCTGCAATCACACTTTGGAAGCCAGAGAGCAATAAAACTGCTCAGTTTTGAATTAATGTCAGCTGTTAGTTTGGATTTTCATTTCCAGAGACAAGCTGTTGAAGGTGTTCTTTAAAGTGTTCATCATCATAAAACGAAACATTTGTTTCTTCATCACACGGGAGAAAAAGTTAGACAGCTTTTCCATTTCAGATACAGGGATTCAATTATCAGAAACTTGTAAATGCCATTTCAAAAGGGATTTCCTTACTTGGATTTTTTTTTTTTTTAATCCATTAGAAAAAAAGCAGGGCAATTTGGGGACTTTACGTCCAGGGCCATTTTTGGACTATAAGAAAATGACAGCATCTTACTTAGTTGCCCTGCTTCTTCTATGTCTGGGCAGTTTGAACCTGGAAGTGCTGTAAAGCCAGCAGTGCTGTGGAATGGTGAGCAGGAATCCATTCCTTCTGTTTTACCTGCAGAATTGCTTAGTCAGTCAGAATAAATTAGACGAGTGTACTCTGCATGACAATGTGCAGGTGTCACTGAATGACTTAAGCCATTACAGGTAATGATGCATTAGGAAAAAGCAGCTCAACTTGATTTGCTATGCTTTTATACCATGTTATGCTTCGTTTGCATGAGTAGCATTTAATAAAAATAGTATCTTTTCACTTTTATACAGGCCATACAGAATATAAAAATTGTTGAAGACAATAAACATGTTTTACAGTATAGTTTTATAATTCTTTAGAGTAAATCTTTTCATTAAAATAGAATCTGATAATGTTACTGATGCACCCTTAAGGAAGAAAGGCAAATCATTCACATAAATGGAGGAGAATGAGTCATAGAAACTCTGCCAAACTCAAACTGGTATAGTTGGTAAGGAGGCAATAGTCTGCAATGGTAATAGGTCACTTATCAAATACACAGTGTACAATAAAGACAGTAAGTTGATGAATTCAGTGGGGTTGTCCTGATTAACACCAGCTGAACATCCACCCAATATGTTTCCATCTCTGCAGTGCTGCACCATTCACATGAGAGCTGCCAACTCGTTTTATGGAGACTGTTACTCATACTACTGAAGGCAAAAGGTCGTTTGAATTGCTGTCGTGTTGGTGGCAACTTTAAATGGTAAGATAAAAAATAAGCAGATAATCACAATAACTTTCCCCCCTGTAAGCCCTGAACAACTCATTAATCCATTACAGAAGTTCTGTTAACCGGCTGTGTCAGGACTGATTTAGTATACTGAACTTTTGCCTCTGTTTTAGAGTGAGCCTTGCCCTGCGATTAAGTATTATCAAAGGGAAGGCTTAATTCTGCTAGCTGAATCTGGCAATACTCTTGCCAGTATTACTTATGGTGGAAGCATAAGATTCTTAGTAAATGCAGTACTTACTAGTTTTATGTCTTCAGCTAGTTCTCCAGTTAATCTGCCAGCTGCTTTCATGTAATAGTTATCCAGGATAAGTGGATCCATAGGACCTCTTCCTTAATGGAGACATATTTTATTGTCACACACTTTTATTGGTTAGGAAAATCAGAATTAATGCACAGTCCCCCTGAAAAACCTCAGATAATTTACAGTTTTTGTGGCCTTTGTTACTAAATTACAAAAATGAATTTCATTGAGAAATTTAGGGGCTAACACTTTGTGGTCTCTTATTGCTATCCCAAGTAAATTAATTTAACAAAAAATGCTTACCTGTGAAGTCCCGACTCTATGTTGTGATCCCCAGAGCCCTTTCTTGGAGAGAGGTTATGTTCTAGCACTTCAAAAGCAGAGTTGGGGACCACTATCTTTTGGATAGTATATTTGACCTTTTTCCTCAGCAAACTTAGGAAACTGAAGGATAAGAAGAAATAGGTAAGGTATAAACCAAATATGTGTGCTGGATGGAGAAGACTATTTTAAAGGTTTGAAATAACATGTTGCATCACCCTCCCCTCCCCCAATTATCTGTTTAGTAAGTGCTAATAAAAGTAAAAATGTGGTGGAAAAATGTTTTCAATATTGCTACTCGAGTGGAAGATTCAACAGGTACATATTTCAGCTGAACTCAATTCAAATAACTTGGAATCAAGTTCTCCATGGTAGCCATACCTAGGCAGAACATTACATGCTGTATAAGCTTTCTTTTGTAGTCACAATTATAGACTGCCTTAAAATGGACTGCTGCTTATTGTTTCCCTTGCCACATCCGTAAGACTATGTGTCTACAAAGGCTGTATCTTTCTTTGTTCACCACTATTTTTTCCTACACTATTAATCACTTTTATCTGTCATCAAACTTCAGGCTACATCCCTTTGGGAAGAGAACTAGCTGAAGAATAGTAGAAATGTGATCGTTCATGAACAAATTCACTCTTCTGTTTTATGGACAAGCCCAGTCTCCATCATTACACTGGGGAAGGCAAGGTTGGAGTCAAAGACCATCCACAAAGAGGATGTCTATTTTCCTGAAGACATGGAAACAGAGACACCAGCCTGTCAGTATGTTGGCAGGGCTTGTGGAGAGGTAAGGAGGAGCAAAGATCTACTGCTGCCCAAACCCATTTCTTTGAAGGGTGGCAGAGCGTAATCTGGGCTTCTGAATGAAGCCCTCCCTCCCCCTCTCCCAAATGTATGGTCAGCAGCTATTATTGTTTCTTCTTCTTGTTCTTATCTCCAGAGCTACTTGGCTAGGTCCTATGAGAGCTAGTTAGTACTTAAAGGATTTCAGTCACAGGACAGCCTGCTAGCTTCTGATCTTGTTTATATATGGCTGAGGTGGCTGAAAACTGTCTCTAAAGCTTTTCATTCTTTGTATGCGTGATGCCTAATTCATGGTCTGCAAGTGTTTGGAACAGTACAGGAGCTCTCTGTGTAAAAATGCCTCCCATGAAAAAGATGCAGAAAAGTTTAATTAAAAAAAAAAGAAGGCATTTTGCTCTTTTCTGTCTGAACTACATACTTGGAAGTATGTGTGCTGTCCGGGCCAGTGCACAGCCTTCTGGGTGTCAGAGGGCTTGCTGATAACTTCATGCCTATATGGATTACCTATAGGGGAAATATTTAACATGTTCTAATGGAACACCATTGATCAGAATGACAAATGGATCTGCATTTTAAGCTGTAGACATATGCTTACTATAAAGACAGCTGTGAGCTTCTGCTAATGTCTCTTCTACTTTGGGAGACTGACCTCATGGATCTGCAGACAGAACTCATCTTCACTCTTCTGGTACAAAATCAGCAGGGTTAGATCAGATCACCTATTGAATCAGCATAAGTTAACCCAACTGTCTTTTTGGAAGCACTCAGTGTGATTATCTGCACCACCAGATCTGCAAGACTAGTTGTCTCAGGTAGAGAGGTGGTGACAAGCAGCTGAGGGTTGGATCTTATACCAGATACAGCTGCCTCTGCAGAAGGCCATCTGTCCATGGCCAATTGCAGGAGCTCTGGGTTGATTCACACACCAGCAGGGAAGATTCTTACTGCATTTTCTGTGCATGATTTTTAAAAACGGCAACAATAAACAATAAAGCTTGATGAATTGTAAAGCTGACTCTGTACTCAGAATGTCACCATCAGAGGAATAGCTGAGTGCTACTAGATGTCTTACAAAAATGAAACCGCAGTGCATGCTTGGAAGAGCTTAATTTCAAACCCTGGTTCTATCACTGCTTTTTCTCTTCAGTCTTTCTGCCTCAGTTTCCCTGTTTACCTTATAATGATGCTGTCAGCTTTGACTACATAATAGCTACTCTGAGTTTTGTAAAGGTGAGATACAGAAAAGGCACAAAGCTTTTAAATACAACCTTCCAGTGGTAAAAGTCACCTGAGTGTGGTCTGGGTTATCTGTACTTAACCAGAGATTTCTCCTTCAGTTATTGAGAACTGGAGTGTCCTGATCTCAGAGGAAGTCAAATCATTTGGAGGGAACAGCATATGAAGTTAAAGTATTTTTTATGTGCCAGTGGTAGCTGCCCCCTTAGCTAGTAATTCTGAACCTGCTAAGCTTTGCTGGAAATAGGTCTTGGCCTCCGATGATCCTCCTGTTGTGCAAAAATAGGCTTTGTAAGCCCACCTCCACACATGATGAGTGTTTCTTAAATTGACCAATGATCAATGAAAACTGACTAAAAATAACTACTCCTAGCATTACATATTCTGTAGAAAAAATTTGGGTTTGGATGGACAAATACTTCACTAAAAATGGCTCGTGTACCAAATTATATATATACATAACTGTACAGCACTGTGCCGATGACTGGAATGGCAGCTCATTAGTGCAAATTGACCTCCTATGTAACATTATCAGCTTTTACTCTGCTGAAAAGCTGCTTATCCATGCCAGCGTACACTTTTTCTGTTTCACACAGTTATTGCCAAACCCTTCCTGGCAAGCACTGCCATGGCACACAGAGGTGCTGGCTTTCTCCTGTCCCAAATTCCCCATAACCCTGTGTAGTCAGCAGCTGCCAAGGACTCCTCATGAGTTCATGCAGGTCATCTTTAAAATCTTCCAAAATGAAGTACCTGTCAAAATTCCGATGTAGTAGAATGCCTCCAGGGAAAAGCAGAATAAGAACAAAAATTTCATGTCCTTTTCCTCCAATATATTATGTAAAACACTCTCAGGTTAAAATGCTGCTGGGTTAAAAACAAACACCTCGTGATGGCTTACATGGTGTTCTGTAAATAATGAATGTCTAGGGCTTCATCTCAGTCTTTGTAAGGAATAAGAAGAGTTGTTTTTTCTCCCTGAACCTTGTTCTACCATCTGTGCAGTGATACAGGGGTACTTCTGTTGTCCTCAGCAAACATAGGGCAGGCATGACTTTGGTCCCAAAATTGCTATTTTTTGATCGCACTGATGCGTTTTGTTTCCTTTCTCTTCCACTCTATTGGACTGTGAAGAATTATTTGTCTGGCAAAAGATATCAGATACACTAAATGATCCATCTTGCTTTTGTGGGGATTAGCAGCTATGTTAATAGCTCTGTTGGCTTCTGGGGCTACAAGGTGTGTTTATTCATCATTCTCACTGCTGAAGTATTCTCCACAGAGACTGCAACTAGCAGCACATAGAGCTCTAATTTAAGCCAAGATGCTTAGCTTGACTACTGATATATTCAGATTCCGGCTCTGTTAAGCTTCAGTAGAAGAGAGTCATGACTTCAGTAGTGTTTCTAAGGACGTTTCAAGAATGAATGGTAAACCAACAGAGTGCGGTCTTACCTCTGGTCTTCCTCAGAACAGCCACAACAAAAGCCTTGGTAGGGATATTGGGATGGAAAGGCTGACGACTGCTTGCATCGATTCCAGTGTCTCGATCCTCAGGTGATCTGAAATTTGGGAACATGGCGTACCTAAAGATGTGTGTCTGGTAGGGATGAGAGGTGGGAAATGGTAGGCACAGTGGTCTTGGGTTGGTTTGAGTTGGCAGGAAGAAGGACAGAAAGAAAGAAAATTTCCTTATTTTGCGTTTCACAGAGTTTTAGCATTAGATATAACACTTAGCAAGAACTGGGAGAGATGTGAGAATCAGAAAGGCGATATCTTAGTTCTTTAATCCCCTCTTGCTTGCACCCTGCAAAAAATTCACAATGATGATTCCCTTGCAGCTTCTGTATGTAATCAGTCATACCAATTCACATTTATTTTTGTGTGGCTTAAGGGAAGGAAAATGTGGACTTCTGATTGGTGCACAGCTCCAATTAATAGTAACTGAATTTATGCTTGTGAAATCAAAATTTGTCTCTAAGAAGACGTTTGTTTCTGGGAAGAAGGAGGGTAAAGCCAAACTGGAGAGTTTTATGGGGTACTGAGAACCAGGATTTCATGGAGTGCCCATGTTCCTGTGGCTGTTCTTTTCAGCTTACAGGTTTTCATGATAGAATAATTAAAAAACTTATTAAAATCAGGGGAATCGTGAGATCTTCTGAGGAAAGTGAAAGCAGTGGTTTATTCCAGTGAGGGAGGCTAGCATCCTGTTTGGATTCTTCTAAACTTTACCACAACTGCATACAGCAGCTTACTGAGAGCAAACGCCTTTCCCCAGTTACTGTATAAAGCAAAGTCACAACTTCATACAGAAGCCAAATTCATTTCATTCCTAAGGTTGTGCATCATGACGTAACTAGATGTCTTACCAAGCTGGGCTTTTCTGAGGCTTCTCTCTCATAAATCTGCCTTATGCGTACGTTAGATCCCTTAGCTGTGCTTGGTAGATGCTCCCAAACCCTTTAATTCACATTAGGTAAAGAGGCCATGAACGACACAGCTGAGAAAACCCAATTAGCCCATAGGCAAGTCAGCAAGATCAGTATTTGTTAGGAGAGTGGGTGTGCTAGCCAAAAACTGCTAACCTGCTAAACCTATCATTATATGCGTCATTTAAGAGTTTTTTGCCTAGTAGTGTTGTGCTGCTTATTACCAAGGAACCTGCACTGTGCAGTTATGTCTGTAAGAGGAACACCTTGCCTTAAAGATAAGCTATAATATAGATGAAATGTACTTACTTAGCCAAACTGGTGGTTTACGAAGCCTATATTAGGGAAGAAAAATAAGTTACCTGAAGTGACCCACGTTCATTTGCACCTCCCACATTTTATCTGAATCAGTGCTTTCTGTATACATTAGGGACAAATCAATGTGTAAGCAGTGCACACAGTATTCTTACTGATACTTCTCATTCCACGAGGAATGTTTTGTGTTGCCAGGTGCCAAAGACTGAAAAGGCACTGGGAGCAAGTGATACGCAGAATGTCTTTTTAAAAGGAGTGAGGGAAAAATCTATCCTGTTACACTTTTGTGTAATAAGCTCTATATTAATTAACAATGGTATGTGCTATTACTAAAAATAAATCCTTTTATCAGTAATGCAAAACAGAAAACATGTCCTGTTTCTGCTTGCAGAGAAAATACTTATTCATTCCATGCTGATAAATTATTTGTATGTTACCGTGGAGACTTATTTTATGCTTCAAATAAATTTTTAAAAAGCAATCAAAAGAAAACACTAACTTTAAAGGCCAAGAATTTCATCACTGAGGCTAGCTAAGAGTCTCTTGGCAATTGTACCAAGTCAGAAAAATGTCTGAGATTAAAAAATTAATTAATTTGCTTAATGGTTCTTTGTGGTATAATTAAAAAAATAATTTTAAAAAATGCCTGAAAGACAATATTACTGGACTGATCTAAGTGGTTCACCTGGAACTCCAAAATCTCATGTATTTATTTCATGAGGAAGGCGTAATTACCAGGTCTTGCTTGAAAGGGTCTTTACTGTATATGTGTAGGAGAGATTGACTGCTAGTGGTCTTTTTTTAAGCTTTATTGTTTGTACAGTGATTACACAAAGTTTCTTGATTCTACAAGCCATATACCAAAATCTTCATATTGCCCCCTCATTTTTCTCAGTGAGGAGAAGGATGTCCCGGATTCATTCCCAAGCAGGAGATGGTGATAACTTCTCAGGGCTCCTCCCCTTGCTCAGTTTGAGGACAGAGCCATCTGGGATGTTAATGGGCCCTGTGGGGACTCCATCATTTCAGCCTTAGCAGTTCCTGTGGGAACTCCCCTCCTCCCACAGCTGGGGATTACGCAGTAGCCTGGTTAATGACATAGCTGTGGCATGGGAGCTGTACCCAAGCTCTGTTCAAGTCACCTGTGACTCAAGAGCTGCCACTTGGCCACTCCATCATTGAATTAGTCTCAGTAAAAATAGGTGTTCCACAGTTACAAAGAGGAAATATGCCCCCTTGCTCAAAGAATTTAAATACAGTCCTGTGCTTATTTCTTTCCATACTGGCATGGGTGTTTTGAAGATAAACTTCAAGTGCCAGATCAATTTTGTTCACACGTTCTGATACAACATGCAGAAGTCATGCATTTCATTGTGAAATCTGTGCTGTGATGCCATGGGACTCAGTGCAACCAACACGAGGTGTGATATCTCACAAGTTACTGTGACAGCATAACTCATGCCTCAACTGAGCTGAACAAAAGATCTACTTTTAATGTGCGATGCTACAAAGATAACAGAACTTAATCAAGTGTTGGATTCTGACAACCATTTGTATATTGTTGCATTTATAACGACCTGGGACTCTGGTTCCAACTTTGTGTCTGTCTTGAAAACGGAAAGCTTTTACAGAAATAGTCATACTTACAGAACAGCAATCTTTAAAAGTGTATTCCACAGATACTTCTAACTGATTTTCCATTTCTACAGTTAGAGCTGGTGCTATATGTCTACTAGTGCTGTAGACAATATTACAATTGTAACACAATGTAAATTGTAAATAAACACTAAGAAGTATTTTCAATTTCCATTTCCATTCACATTGTGCTATGATGTGAATTGTTACATTCTTCATTGCATTCATTGGACATGTTCCTGATAGAAATATGCAAAAATAAGGCAGTCAGTCTGCTTTGTGCTCTGGTAGGGCAGAAGTACTTAAGTAGCTTTGTAGAGCACTTTTCGTTATAACATCTAAACTTAAGGCAGCAATAAAATAAGCATGAGCATGCATTTCCGAGACTATACCATGATTTAGAGAAGTTTTGTGAGCTTAGGTTGTAACAGCCAGCAAAGCTTTGCATTTTCAGAGGTGGACAGTTGTTTAGAGTGTTCCGTATATTTTTAAAACTCAAACTGGATAATCAAGCCTGAAGCCACCCAGAATGGATGACAGTATAGAAACGGAGAGCTCTGGCTGGAAGGGAAGAAAGGAATAGCAGCTTTTCCAAATTTGGCACTGAGATGCTTTCACTGGAGTTGCAGTAGACTTTTGCTGGAGTCTGCCAGTATCAGACAAGAAACAGTTGCTAAGTATTATGTTATCTTCCCCTTTATGTTCAGTCCACAGAGGATATGGAGTCTATCAGTCTCTTGAAAAGAAGTCAGACTCAGGAGGACTTATGCTCCCGGTTTGGAAAGCCCCAGAACAAATCCAGGGAGTGGTCTAGATGGACACCATCCCATTTCCCTAGCAATGAGTGCACTGTGAGCACTCATCAAACACTTTTTGATAAAATAAGCATAAACCAAGTTTCACAAGAGAGAGAGTATCCTTATGGAAACATTGGCTTCGCCTGCAGTAGTTCTGCAGCTCCCTTTCTGATGTAGTGCTGAGCGCTGGGTGCAGGGACACGCTTGGTCAGTAACAGTAATGAAAAACACATTGGAACCTGTGTGACCTTCATGAGGATCTATCACTTCCCACCATTTTTCTACTCTCCGACACATGGTAGGAGCTCTGAAGAGCTTTTCTTCTCTCAGGTGTGGTGTTGACCTGAGAGTGATGCAGTGTGGGGAGCCTCATGACCTTCAGCTTCTTTTTTAGATCAGGCCAGAGAACTTTTTGCTGCTCTTTCCTGTTAATTTCCCACATACTCAGTAAATTATTAAGAGAATAAGATGTATCACTTTTGCCAATTTTAACAGGAAGGAAGTTATGACTGGAGAATAAAATGTTTCACATGTGTAAATTGGCTTTCTCTGCAGCGCTTTATTCTTTCAAAGGGAGGCAATCACTTATCTTGCCTAACCTTAAAACCTGCTTGGTCAGGGAGCTGCAGGTCAGGGAACCACCAGGGGTCAGGGAGCTGGGGGACAGCCAGAGGAATGCAGGTGCTGTGTGGCATGATAAACAGTGAAAGCAGATTAAAACCCACATGGAAAAAAGCCAGTTTTCATTCATTCTGTGCTGTCACTGAATCCACCGAAAACCTCATTGGTGTGATTTGTCTTTGGAAGGACAGCTGCAAACTCTGTAGCCTGATGTAGAGTGTGTGTGTATAACTAGGGTTCTTGGCAATGGCTGAAGCGTATTTTTCAAGGCCTTTCAGGATTTTGCAGTCTTGTTTGATGTGAACTTGAGGACTCATTACACCTTTAGATGTGAGGAGGAGACTACTTTTCTCTGGTACATTTGACTGGGAGGGCATATGTGTGTGGCCCACTGCTAATGCACTTACAAAAGCACACCTGCACAAACCCAGTGATTCATTCTAGTGCAAAACTGCACAAGGATACGTAGTGTGCATACTTAAGGCAAAGGCATAGTTCTCCCATGAAAGTATACAGAGTTATTGTAAATGCCTGGTAATTAATTTCCCATGAAAGACAGTAATGGCTGAAAGGAGCCCTCACAGGCTATAAGGTAAATAAACCGAGTGTTAATAGCTCCCAGGTAGGCCTGCAGAGCACCACTCGGAGGGTATTTTTCAGGAAAGGTTCCATGTGGCTGTCACCGCTTAATAGTCCCTGACAGCAGGAAGAGTACTTGCTCTGAAAGACCTTGGACTATGAACATGGAAGATGTTTTTTTTGCGTGTTTCACTTTTTGTTTTAAAGGATATATTCTTTCCTTCCATTTAAAAGTCTTTCAAAGACCGAGAAAATACAACCTTATGGGAAAAGAAAATGCTCAAACTAGGATAAAGCATAGACCATAAATATTTTTAGAGATCCAGCATGTTTCATGTTAAGATGTGAGTGCAAAATAATGGAGAAAGTATATCTATGTGCAACATGAGAGTGCCCACTTTGCATGGATGTTAGTTCTAAAACAATTTAAAAATTCTCCATTATCTTACAAAAGTGCACGGGCCAGTTCTTGTCACTTAGTGCTTAGGAAACTTACAGGAATAACTTGCTACTTCCTTGTAGCTTGTAATCAAATTCTGCAGAAGCAGCACAGCCAATGCCTCTAATGTGCATTGCTGGTCAAAGGTCATAAGCTGTCCCAGTAGAAAGGAGTTTTGACTTGTACACTCTTGTAGGTAACCACATTCTCTTCTGCTTGTGCTGCATGCTGTAATGAGGTAATAATGAGAGAAGCCTGCAAAAAGCAGGGGATTACAAAGAGCAGAGTTGCAGGTTTCCTTGTGTAACTTCTGTGACGTGTTTACAGTTAGCTCTCCTGCTTTTCTAGAGTGTCTGAGTTTACACAAAATGGGGAGCAGGTACCTCACGTGCAGGGAGGCTAAAGGGAGAGTGGTGGGGTCAAACAATGTGCCTCACAGCCCTATAAAGATAACTGAGAAATCGTTGCAAAATTATTCTCAGGTTTCTAATATGCTCTAGTTGTCAGTGCTAATATGAGAGGTGTAACTTGTTCATTTTCTGCTTTTGAAGAATTTACATTTACACTTTAAATTACCTTAATCTAAAATCTCCGTAGTTTGATCAAATTTAAGCGTTTTGCTGTTGCCATCAAGTGGCAAAATGTTGAATTGCAGAACTCCAGCAGCATCCAAATTCACTCAATCCGGTATCTCTTGGACAGCAGCAGCGAGAACAATAATCTTTGCTAAGCCTCCTCCAAAAATACGTATCTCTCTCTCTATATATACCAGAAAAATGGACCGAAATGCACATGGTGTCATGGTTACTTCAGTTTAATCTGGATTCTAACTAGTAGAAGGGCTAATATTTTTAAGTATTACAAGTTGATAAATATGGACAACCTGTAAAGCAAACTCAGAGACCCTTGTTGAAGAGATACTAAACTGAAGGGGCACAGTGCCGTATTCTGAATTTCCTTCCCAACTGTGTTTGCTCTCCTTAGTTACTAGCTAATCCCTTTTTACAGAACACGGCCCTTCAGATTTCATGTCAGATCTGCACTTCATATCATATGTGCATAATATCACCAGAGTGGAATGAATATTCAGTTTGCTGTTACATTCACTAAATTGACAATCTGGTTTACGCACAGTTTAAACTTACAGTTCATCATTCATACACATATCACTTTTTTCACCTGGGTGACATCACAGTATTGCTCAGCGGGAAGGCCTCTTCAAAGGCCTTGCAAAGAGAAAGCATAAATGTAGACAGCTTATGCTCTATTTGCTTATAAAAATCCAAATCAATTGATATGTTTTTGTCTTGATTTCTCAGATAAGCCTTAATATCAAAACTCGTAGATGCTGCTAGTGTGGAAATCTCTCCTCAGTTTCAAAATCTAAGTCCTGCAGGGCTGGATTTTGAGAGGTGCTGAGCACCCATGCCTGAATCCAGAGTTCCTAAGAACACTGAGCATTTCCCTCTCTGAAGGCCCTTACAGCCCCTCACCACGCACCCCCAACACTCAGTAGGAGCTGTGGGAATGCCTTGAATGAGTGCAGGTTCCATCTTTTGGTCCTGTAAGGAATTAAATTATGGGGGTCCCTACATTATGGGGATCACTTTCAGCCAAAGGGCTCCCAGAATCCAGAAAAACTGCATGGTCCTTTTCACTGAAAAGAATCTGATGAGAAGATACCACCATACTTGTCTTTGAGTTTAAACAGTGGAAAACAAATCAGTTGTTATATGGGACATCAGGTTAAAAAAAAATACAGCAGAAGAGAGAGCAAATAGGAGTGCCAAAATGAAGGAAATGCAGTTGGAAAAATCAGCCATAACCAATAAGATTTTCCTGGTATTAGAAATAGCCTTATAGTTTTGACCGGGCCTTGCTAAAGCTGAGCTTGACCCAAAGGGTCTAATCAAGTGACTGTTGCTAAAAGGAATGGGTGGCCCTAATTGCATGGCTGAAGAAGAGATGTTGGCTGCAAGAAAGGGAGAGAAATGATGCTGAATCAGAAGGGGGTTGTTTGACTTTTATGGCTGGATCAATGGGCTCCCAAAGCTTGCGGGTTATAGCACAGTCCAACGGGAATGTGCTCATAATACTCTGGGTCTAAGAATGAGTTCAGAATTGTCTTCTCTTTCTTCTTTAAGCACTTTCCCACATTAGCACTGTCCAGTGTAATGTGTGCTTCTGTGCCACGGGTGCTGTGAGTTGAGCAACGCGGACATCTATGGTCAGACTTAGGCTTCCAGCTCTCGTGGAAGACTGTATTATAAACATATTTATTTAGGCTTCTCATACTTCCCCCGCTGAAATTTGTGCCAGTGCTATTAGAGGCACAGCCACGAAAATACTTCATTTGCATCTTGCCCACTTCAGCTTTCTCCTCTATAATTGTTTGCACTAGAGTACGTTCCTAATTAATTTCTAGCCTGTATGTCTGGTAGGTTTCACTGAGATCAGCGAAGGTGGTGCTGTTGGGGATACTGTAGCTGTGCTCCTTACCTGGAAGCTGATCTATGTTGTACAGAAACTTAGTGTGGAGGAAAGGCTACTCTATTTTGGCCCTGCAATAGCACTATCAGGATTGTGATGTCTGGCTATGCTCTGAACAACTCTTCTGCAGTATCACTTTACTGTGAGAGTTGCCCAAGACAAACAACAAATGGATGTCATAAAAATGGGTTTATAAAGTAGCTTGGAAACCTCTTCTCCCTTTCTGACTGCTAAGTTGGTTTTCTGAGATGGGGCATGTAGTCACTGTGACTCATCTATCTTCTCATGAGGAGTCACCTTGTGACTCCTACCTGTGTACTATGCCTGAGTTGGCCGAAACCTTTGCTTGCTTGCAGTTTGAGGGTAGGAATGTAAAGACAGCTACACAGACTATATGCCACCTAGGCATTTTCCACCTTGCGGAAAAGAGGCGGCTTGTTTCTGGACCTCTTTTTCTCTTCAGAGTGGAATTCATTTGGATGGATCAGGGGCTCTACACTAGTGTGCCTGGACAACAAATAATCCAAGGGATTGCATATTCAGAAAAACACAAGAGCAATGAAAATTCTTGTTTCAAGCTGATTTTACATTCTTGCACTGATCCTATCACTGTGGGATCACAGCATCTTGTCATGCTCCTGGAATGGAGGTCCCATCAGTATCATTTAACAAGAGCAAGTGCTGGATTCTCCACCTGGGACAGGGTAATCCTGGTTATATGTACAAATTGGGGGACGAGAGGCTAGAGAACAGCCCCATGGAAAGGGATCTGGGGGTTTGGGTTGATGGCAAGTTGAATATGCGTCAACAGCGTGCCCTGGCAGCCAAAAGGGCCAACCATGTCCTGGGGTGCATCAAGCACAGCATAGCCAGCCAGTTGAGGCAGGTGATTGCCCCACTCTACACTGCACTGGTGCGGCCCCACCTCGAGTACTGTGTGTGGTTGTGAGCACCTCAAGAGAAGGACATCAAACTATTAGAGTGTGCCCAGAGGAGGGCAACCAAGATGGTGAAAGGTCTCAAGGACAAAACTTATGAGGAGCGGCTGAGGTCACTTGGTGTGTTCAGCTTGGAGAAGAGAAGGCTGAGGGGTGACCTCATTGCAGTCTACAACTTTCCGAAGGGGGGCAGCGGAGGGGCAGGGGCTGATCTCCTTTCTCTGGTGACCAGCAATAGGACACATGGAAATGGTATGAAGCTGCATCAGGGGAAGTTCAGGTTGGACATTAGGGAAAGGTTCTTCACTGAGAGAGTGGTCGGTCACTGGAACAGGCTCCCCAGGGAAGTGGTCATGGCACCAAGCCTGTCAGAATTCAAGGAGACGCTCTTGGTCATATTGTTTAGTTTTAGGTAGTCCTGCGAGGAGCAGGGAGTTGGACTCAATGATCCTTATGGGTCCCTTCCAACACGAGATATTCTATGATTCTATGATCATTTTACAAAGAGGTTAGTTCATGGTAATGCAGGGCAGAGCAAGGACAGGAAGGCATCTTTCCAGCCTTTGAGTAATGTTTTAACCCTTGGACAGCCATGCAGATGCCTAGTCTGCATCTTCCATTCCTGTTCTCCAGGAAAGCCTGCAGGGCTGAAGGTTATCCTTGAATTTCCACAAGTCAGCCCTAAGCAGAAGCATGTTCTGCTTTCAAAGCTTTCCTGCAAGTCAGTAATGGTGATTTGAAACCTACCTGAGTGTCTCAACAACAGAGATTTGACATCATCATTTGCCTATCTGTTTATCAGCTAGCCAGTCTTATTTTTTTTCCTTTTGTTTTGACTAATGCCATCATGATGAACAAGAAGTTTTGGAACTGGTTTCAGTGGAAGTGGCACCAACCCCAATATATTCTAAAGAAGAAATTAGTTGTGGTAAGAGGCTAGGAGAAGGAGCCCTGACTCAGTAAGCGTATCCCAGAGCTCTTCCCCTCAGCTGTTGTCTAGACAGATCTCTTCTTCTACAACAGCTTTCTGAAAAAGCTGAGCACCAACTTTTTATGTTTATGCCTATGGGATTTGTGGATCCTGAGCATCAGTGTAAGTTAGGCCAGTAGTGATGTTTTTAAGGTCAGGAAGGGTGTTTGGGACAACAGCCAACAGTAAGTAATTATCAAATGATGAGCAAAAAATAAATATGGTCATTTGGAACTTTAAGTGTTTCAGCGAAACACTGCAGAGATTTGTGGGTACCAGTATATTCCCACATTAATATTTAAGGCAATGTGAAAAGGGTAGAAGCTTAAATTGCCCATTTTTGGAATGCAGATATTTGCATGTCTTGATCTACATTGCTGTCTAACCTGGTAGCTGTCTGTTGCTATTCTTGCTAAAAACCTGTCACCTAAACATTTTTACTGTGAGAAGTATTTGTCTAGCCTACCTTGGCCAGGGGTCTACAGCACTAGCATAAAGTTCATGTCCTTTAACAAATGTACAGAAGACTTGTCCTTTGCCCTGTAGTCTTCTGGCAATACAGGTAGTGCAATTCCTCCACGCTCCCTTTCTGCTCCCCAGGGAAGCTTGCAGCAGTAAAAGGATTCCCTGAACTCTTTATATCTGAAAGAAAAAAAAAAACAAACCCAATATGTCCTTTAACGGCAGCGACAGTGATGGTTACTTGAAATCTTTTAAACAAAGACAACTTGGCTTTATCTTCGTGGCTCTGAGTTACTCAGTCTTATTCTGCTTAATACTATGGTGGTGAACTCTCACTAGGAGAAGTAAGTACAATGGTGATTGGCAATTGTTTAATGAAAGTTGAATCAAGTCTATTATGTTTTGATCAGTGAAAGGAAGAAAGAAGCTGATAGATACGAGCATCTCACAGCGTAATCAAGTCTCAGCTGCCAGCGTGTAGATACCTGCACAGTCCCTTCAGTACTATGTGAGTGGCATATGGACAGCAAATATATGCAATGGTACAGATGGAAGCTTTAGCATCTAATTCCCACTGATTTCAGATTTGTTATTTGTGCCTTTGAAAACCTTCCCTCTCCATCTCTAGAGAGGTGAGAAATGTTACTATTTGGTAGCTGTAATTCACACTGAATGCAAGCTGTGTCAGGCACTTCACAGGGATGTGCTAGTGGCTGAGAATATTCAGTACATTTCCATACATCTGTGTCATTTGGCCACTGTCGTAAGAGACAACAAAAAATGTTTTTACAAATATATTAATGACAAAAAGAGAGCCAAGGAGAATCTCCATCCTTTATTGGATGTGGAGGGGAACATTACTACTGAGGACAAGGATAAGGCTGAGGTACT